CTGGGATTACAGGCACTTGCCACCAGGCCTAGTCTCAATCACCATCTCAGTGCACCCTGGGGCAGGGTGGGCATAGCATGCCGGGGATTGAACCCTGGTCCCTGTGTCTGCCTAATCCACTGAGCTACCTGGCCGGCCTTTATTTATTTATTTTTTGTACTTAGTACAGAGTCTATAGGGTCTCACTACACAGATCGGACTTGTAGTGATCCTCCTGTTTTCTACCTCGAATATAAATACTGTTCTTTATGCATGAATTTGTAAATCATGTACTGGGAATATTGCTCAGTGGCAGAGTGCTGCAGGATTCAGTCCTGAGCACTGGGGGACAGAAGGTGTTTGGGTTGTTTCTGACATACTGAAATGATTAGGAACTAGGGGTGAGCCGGTGTGGGCCACAGGCCCCTGTGCAGGCCTAGTAAGAAAGAGCCAAAAGGAGCCAGGTGCAAGAGCAGAATCTGGCCTCTGTGCAAGGTGTAGCTAACACGCATAGCTTAGGTGACCGATCAGCTGCTGGAGACCGGCCTCCAAGGATCCCTGCTTCCTCGTGTCAGTCTCTCTCCTTAAGTGTGACTTATTTCTGGTTCTTGAAGGTGTGGAATATGTTTTGTGATTCCATCATGTAAGACTGAGACTGGGGCTTGCTTGCCTTTCTTTTTCTTTCTTTCTCTTTCTTTCTTTTTTTGTGGTACTGGGGATTGAACTCAGGACCTTGGGCTTGCCAGGCAGGCACTTATTCTACTGAGATATCTTTCAGCCCGTGACTTATTTCTTGCTGCTGGACTTTCCCTATGGCCTTCTTGGCTTGGGTGAGGTTGGAGATGTCAGCAGGTGGGTAACTGGGAGGCTCTGAGGGGTTGGGAGCAGCCTCTGACGGATAGGTCACAGAATACTTAGGCCTTAGGCCTATAATTATAGCAAATCAAATTATATATATATCATACATATGATGTATATCTCCTAAAAAAAGAGATTATGATTGCTCATAATTTTTTTTGCCTTTATGACCATTTACAATGTGATGGGATTTTCCCTCTTTTTATTTTTATTTTTTATTAATTTTAATGAAAAGAAATAGAAATGAGAGTTTCAAAACAGGTTAGTAGGACAGTTACAATAATTAATACATTGCATATTGTTTTCATAGTAGTTATTCAGAGGACAAGATGTAGACATGATGTCTTGTCTAAGCAATATTAGTACAAACCTTCTTCTCATTGAACTAAGAGAAAGTAGTTGTATATCCTATTTTGTATATGCATATACATATATATATATATTTTCACTACAAAATCAAATTCTTTTTTTTTTTTTTTTTTTTTTTTTTTTCAGAACCGGGGATTGAACTCATGTCCTTGCACTTGCTAGCCAAGCGCTTATTCTACTGAGCCATCTCCCCGGTCCCAAAATCAAATTCTTAGCAGAATTTCTCTGGCAGAGCCTTGGCTGAGCTCATAGCCCCAATCAACACATTGATTTGCAGCCTTGTGAGGCTCTGAAGAGCGACACCATAAAAGCCATGCCTGGACTCCTGACCCACAGAAATGATTATGTAATGATGCTTGTCACGTGAGCCATAAAGACTGTAGTAGTACTATTATGTGGCAGTAGTTACACATGCAAAGATACATTTTGTCAAAATTAAAAGTGAGAAACAGGGATTTTATTCAGTTTTATTTTAGCATACCAACTGCACATTAGGAATTCTGCTATCTATAAGGTTGGACACATCACCACAAACGGTCTACCTTAAGCCAGGCTCAGTGATGCATGCTTATTATCCCAGCTATTTGGGAGGCTGAGGCAGGAGTATTGCAAGTTGGAGACCAGCCTGGGCAACTTGGACTTTGTCTAAAAAGATAAGTGCTGAGGATGTAGCTCAATGCCAAGGCCCTGAGTTTAACCCCCCAGTACTGACAAAATCAAAGAAAAGATTTTATGAGTATATCTATGTCTGCATCTAAAAATGTAATCTCAGGAGCATTACCGTTAATTCATGCCTGTTTGGAGGACACAGCAGACATGTAGCCTGCAGGAGGACACACAGAGACATTTGTGTTCTGAGTCATTCATGGGCCTGAAATGCCGGAAGGATAGGAATGGGATGACAATGGATATAATAGGAATTGTTGGTCCTCGGAAGCTCTTGGATTTGTGGTTTGAATCCCCATGGGTAGCAGCAGATGGAGAAGGATTTTTTGTTCTCAGGAGAGTTTGTTATGTCAGAGATCTAGGCAGTGCTGCTGACCTGGGAGTGCTTCTAGGAGACAGAGAGCCTCAGCTGCCACTCTGTAGGAGGCGCAGCGTGGCGTCAGTGCCTGGAGGATGAGTCTCGGGGAGCACCGGAGGGGACTATGAGCTTAGATTGTTGTGTCCTTCTAGAGAACATTAGCTGAAACCACAAAAAAGTCCCCGAGGGATTTCTTTGAGCAGAGAAGGGAATGCCCGGGAGTGGGCACTGGGGAAATGTTTCCAGGGACTCCATATAAGTTGGACCTTTAGCAGTCTAACACTGTAGACCATGCTCCTGTGGCTCCCTAACAAGGAGAGCTGGAGGAAGGGATGGTGAGTGTTGAAGTTTTAGCCCAAGACAAAGAGAATAACAGAAAGGGGAAAGAGCAGGAAAAGATGACAAGCACTGTAGAGGTCACTGCTGAACAACAGGATGCCAAAAGTTCAGCAGACGGGTTGGCATCAGGGTCTCACTCAGTGCACATCTGCTCGTAGGCCACACTGTGCAGACAGAGCAAGCCTTGGAACAGTCCAGAAGAGAGTGGAGAAAAGGACTGTGTAGGTCTGACTCCTTCCTGCCTTGTTCCTAGTGACCAAAGCTTGCTTCTTTTGGGTTTCTATCTTTGGCCTCCTTGGAAGCCAGTTTTTACTTCACACCTGACAGGGAAGCGCTTTATCCAAGTCTGGCAGTGACAGAAGCCAGGGCTTCAGGGGCTAGGGCAGAGGCCCTGGCCTTCTGTGCCCAGTGATTGGCAGTGGGGCAGACAGGGCTGGTGGAGCACATGCCCCTTGGAGGAGCAGGCAGCATGCAGCGGTGGCTGAGGTGCAGCATGAGGTACAGGGCACTGAGGATGGTGCCAATGGAGGACTCTGAGGGGCAACTGAGGTGGGGCCTGCCCCAAGTTCTTTGGGAAAACCCTGGTGGGGGTACAAAGAGAATTGTAGGATGGTGGGGGTCTTCTGGAAGGAATAGAGCAGAGGACAAGAGATGTGATTGTACATTGACTTTCTCTGTATGCTGAAGGCAAAGACTTCTGGACATGGTTTGGTTTCAGTTAAATGACCAAAATGACAAGTGGTGTACCAAAATGTTCTAAGAAGCTTCTTAGTCTTGGAGCTCAGCCTCCTGAGAAGGGCATTTGAGGGAAACCTTGAAAGACAACACTTTAAGAGATGGGACTGGACCAAGGTATTGAGGCCATAAAATGTAAAGGTGAAGGGATCCATTGGTCTCTCGGTGTGATCCTTTCTACCTGGGGAGAAATGGCAGTGGAAATAAGGAAAAGACAAGAAGACAAGAGGTGGGTTAGGTGGGGACTCATCAGCCTGGTTGGTGAAACGATCCCCGAGAAACAGCATGCACATTTTATACCTATGCAAACGGAGATCGTAACACGTGAGGTAAGGTGGCCTAGTGACTTAATTTTTTTTTTTTTTTGTGGTATTGGGGATTGAACTCAGGACCTTACGCTTGCCAGGCAGGCACTTATGCCATTGAAATATCTCTGTGGCTCTTGCCTAGTGACTAATAGCTGACATTAACTAGTCAGGATGCTTGCTTGTCTCAGGGCTGAGGTAGTGTGACTGGTTTAGGCTCTGAGGCCTAGTCAGGCTTTCACACATTTGTCCAATTTTCCAGCTTTCATGGCTCCCAACATAAAGGCATGTGGGTGAATCCTAGTTGACAATTTTAGTGAAGATGCAAAATTACAGCCAACTTTATTTACATTTTTGTATAAAGATTTGGGACTTTATTCCTTAGGCAACAGGAAGTCTATCGGGAGTTTTTGTCCAGAGATACTGTACCAGGCAACAATGAGATTGGAGTAGAAGAAAACACAGACACTCTTCAATTAACAACAGGGTGAAGTGACTCAGACTAGAACTTTAAAAGAATTGGTCGCTACAGGAGGCACTGTCTATGGTTCTTATAATATTCAGAACAGATAAATGGTCAAAGTAGACTTCCAACTTGTGACTCTGCTTTTATTTGCAGAACTCTTTCAAGCATAGCTGTAATGTGTAGCAGGACATAAAGCTGCAGCAGTGTGTAATCTGCCACAATTAAAGTTCTGTATTACACAAGGTGTACCCTAACCCCAAGGGACAGAGTCTCTCTCAAAAACGTATATATACAGTTGTATGAAAAAATAAAGATGAGTCCTAAGTCCAAATAGCCAATTGTAATTCGGAGCAGTCGTTAAACACATAGGCCGCTATATTGTGGGGCATCTTATGCCTGGTCTTGCAGGTGTGGGGCCCTACAGGCAAACCCTCAAGCAGGGAAGGAAGGGGAACGTCTTAATCCGGGTCTGTCAGTGGCCTGGGCAAGTGTCCGCGAGCATAGGAAACTGCACACGTGCACATCTTTCAGCTTTTCTGAGTCCGGATCCCAGCATGCACCGCACAGGGAAAAATCAAACATCTTCCCTTGGCGGCCTTGCAACCCAGAAACTGGAGGCTGCTGCCCCGCACTTGGGGTCAAGGGGCAGAGACAGAACCAGGAAGAGGTCACCTAACTCAGAAATAGGAAGCAGTTCAAAACCCAAGGACATGATCTGGAAAGACGTGAATGTCGGGGTTGGGGGGGGGGGTCCAGGCACTGAGTGGCTGTAGCGATTTTTCTCCCTTTGGACGGTCTCTTGGAGTGCCGGAAGCTGGAAGCCCCGCGAGGTCCAGCCGTGCAGAGCTCCTCCGCTGCGCAGGCGCTAGGACCGCGGGACGCCGGGCGCCTCCGCGAAGCCCCGCCCCGCCGCGGGGCAGCACGGGAAAGCCAAGATGGACGCGTCCATTTGAACGCCTCACCCGCCCGCCTGTCTTTAGCAGTCCGCGGCTGCGCCCGCCCGTTCTTCCTCCGGAATAAAGGAGGGAGAGGGGATGAGAAGCTGTGGCGGCCCAGGAGTCGTCGTGACCGATCTGCCCCTCGGCCCCCGCGCCTGCAGGGAGCGGCCGGGGCTCGCCGCGCCGGACGCGTCTCGAGTCACACAGGTGCTCCCGGGCCCCGGCTCGCGGTCCCCTAGACGTGCGCGTCTCGCGGGGCCAGTTCGCGCCCGTGATGTGGAGGGGCGGGAAGCCGAGGGCGGAGCCACGGGGCGCGCCGGGCGGAGCCGACGCGGGCCTGCAGGCCGGCTTTCTCGGGGTGTCCCCCGGCCCCTCCGAGCGGCTTTGCAGAGGATCAGCTGAAAAGAAGTTGGGGAAGCTCGGCCTTGTGGTGGGGACTCCACTCGAGGTTCCTTCTAGTGTGTGCGCTGCGGAAGCCGGGACTGCAGGTTCTTTATGCGTTTGGCTTTCCTGTTTTTGACAGTGTTTCTAGTAATCAGTGTTGACATTTTGATTTATTGCTGCCAAATTAGTATTTTCGTGTGTAGCTCTTTGTTTTTGCCTGTAAGAATGACACATTTATAAAATTTTGGGGTACTGTGAAAGCGTTATGTTGCCTTAATCAGTACGAAAGATATCTATGTATCTTGTGAAAACAGCCTGTATACTGTAGCCTATAAACAAAAGATGTCAGCTGTGAAAATAGCCTACGTACTATTTTTTATATATATATATAAGACATAGTATACATTACATGTACTATATAATATATTGTATATAATCATTAATTATAATATACTGTAATTAACAATTTTGTAGTTCCCCCGTAGTTGCTAGGAGAATAATGTTACAAACTTTTACAAGAAAAGTTGAAGTCGCAAGTCTCTTAAATATTTGAATCTTGTTGAATAGAATATATTCAACAAGGCCCACCTGAATTTTGAATTTTTTGTAAGTTGTAAGGTACCTTTTTAGTTTTGTCTCAAGTTGCAGTGTTCTCAGTACTGATTGATTTCAGGCATGATATTTAATTCACAGTGAAGTAACTTTGAGGCCTAGGGACGCTGCTTAGGAACTATAGCAACGTTGAGGTGTTTGTACAAGGAAGAAAACATTTAAAAAGATCTTGGGGCTGGGGAGATAGCTCAGTAGAGTAAGTGCTTGCCTGGCAAGTGCAAGGGTCTGAGTTCTATCCCCAGTTCCGCCAAAAAAAAAAAAAATCTTAAAAGATAAATCGAAGTAAAACTCAGTTAAACTCTATAAATCTTTTTTTTTAATTATTTATTTATTACATTTATTTATTGTGTGTGTGTGTGTGTGTGGCCAGCTCAGCCCACCAGGGGGCGAGGCTGGCTGGCATGTGGTGCTGAAGGATCGAACCGCGGTCCTTGTGCTTTGCCAAGCTTGTTCCAAGTAGTTGCTTTAGACCACTGAGCCATCTCTCCAGCCCTAAACTCTATTAATCTTGAGTGCTGTTTAAACAAAAATGTAAAGATTGTCTTACAGTGCTGATGTCAGGTGTTTATCGATTTCTGTGTTTTAGGATTGCAGCTTAACTGTGATGCTGTGAATTCCATTTTTATAAATTGTCATTGTCTCAGAGACATAACCTACTCCCACCTTATGTACCATATGGCACCATGTCAGTTTTACCAGCTGTCATTTAACATGTGTAGAAATAGTTTGGAAGGTATAGTGGCATGTTTCTGTGCAGCTCATCCATCTCTCTTAGTACTAAACTGGTTTTGATTGGCCTTAGAAGCTGATGGGAATGTGTTTCAATTCATGCAGAAATAATGGTGATATTTGGAACCCATGTCGAACTTCTATGAAGAAAGGGCAACGATGATTGCAGCCGGGGATTTGCAGGAATTTGTTCCTTTCGGTCGAGACCACTGCAAGCACCACCCTAATGCTTTGAACCTTCAGCTTCGCCAGCTGCAGCCAGCCTCTGAGTTATGGTCTTCTGATGGTGCTGCCGGCTTGGTGGGATCTCTTCAAGAGGTTACAATCCATGAGAAACAGAAGGTTGTATTAAGATTTCATTATATTTTTGAAATATAGACTGATATGGTTAGCTTGTAATTCAGGGCCAAACAAATGCAACTCAGAAATGAGTGTGATAACTACTTCTAGGATGAATTTGTCCAGTGCTAAAATACAGTGAAATCGTTGTGTGTCCTAACTGCTTCTTTAGACAGACTGTATAACTTGTGGTTTTACAATGAGAGTCAAGTTCTATACTATGATTGTGGTTCATTGTAAGTGTCTTTCTCTTTGCTTCATGTGTATTGACCAGATTTTATGTTAGAAATTGAGATATTTCATTCTTTTTATGGGGAGGACAAGAGAAGGAAGGTGAATGAATATGCATGGGGCGGGGGTGATAGCTCAGCAGCTTAGGCATCTCTCTGGCAAGTGCAAGGTCAAGTTCATTTCCTGTTACCAAAAAACCAACAATAAAAAGATGAATTAATGAATGTCTATGCAGCGGTGAAGCAGGGAAGTCTGCATTGTATAGAATTCTCCCAGCAATCCGCATGTGGCCCATGCTGTCTTCTCTCTGCCCCCTGCATACTCTTAGTGTGTGCTTTGAGTCTCCCAAGCATGTGATTTCACTTTTGACCTATAGATACAAGTTTTATTTGTATTTTTGGCAGAGTAACACAGATCTAAAACACTTCCTGCAGTGCACTCTTGTTCCTGAAAATCTTGTAAGGTGTAATTTACCTGCATGCTCCATTATGCTGCTGATCAGTGCCCCAGACCTCCTAGGAGTTGGACTTGGATTAAGTCTTACCACAGGCAAATGAATCTTGACTTCAGACTATTGGAAAAAAAAAAAAAAGAAAAGAATACTTGAACATACCTTGCTTATGTTAATTTTTAAGGAAAGCTGGCAGTTGAGAAAAGGAGTTAGTGAAATTGGAGAAGAAGTGGACTATGATGAAGAACTCTATGTGGCTGGAAATATGGTGATATGGAGCAAAGGAAGTAAAAGCCAAGCACTGGCGGTTTATAAGGCGTTTACAGTTGATAGTCCTGTTCAGCAGGTGAGTAGATCTGCATTTCAATGGTAGATTCACTACTTAACCCGTCTTTTTAAAAAGCTTTAGTTTTAAAATTTAGCAGAAATGATAAAAAGTAGTATAAAGATCTCAGCAGCTAGGTGCGCATTTTAACATGCAGTGAAGATGATGGCAGGACAATAAGAATTTTTTTGAAAAAGCTTTTGTTTGTTTGGTTCAGGGTCTTGCTGTGCAGGTCGGACTCAGTGATCCTCCTGTCTCAGGCTCCCCAGTGCTAGGATTACAGATGTGCGCCACCATGCCCGGTTTCTGTGGCTGGCATGGCATGTGATGCCGGGGATTGAACCCAGATGCATGTGCTTGCCAGGTGGGCACTTAGACCGCTAAGCTAGCTCCCCAGGCAAGAATTTTGTTTTATATTCTTTATCCTGTCATTTGCTGATACCATCCTTGGGTACTTCTATTTGTTATTTTCATCTTTTTTTTTGTGGAACCGGGGATTGAACTCAGGCCCTTGCGCTCACCAGAGAAGCGCTTATTCCACTGAGCCATCATCTCCTTGGCCCCTATTTGTTATTTTTTTAAAAAAAAGGTTATAAAGTGTTAGGGATGCAGAAATATTGTTTAAAACATGCCTATTACAATTTATCACAGTTATAATTATATTAATTAAGCGAAAATTGTTGGGTTCACAGCAATAATCAGGAAGAAAAGGAACAGTGCACTTGCTGCCATGGCAGTTGACTGTTACACCTCTTTTCACAAAATTGGTAATTAAAGAGAAGCAATTAAGCACTTGCCGGGTCTTCAGGAAGACAGGGAGTTCACCTCCTTTTGATGAATGAGAACTCTTTTTTTTTTTTTTTGGTGGAACTGGGGATTGAACTCAGACCCTTGCGCTTGCCGGGGAAGCACTTATCCTACTGAGCCATCTTCCCGGCCCCGACTGAGAACTCTTGTAGAAGAATGTCAGCTAATACTTGTAGAAGGAATAGGAGAGTCAGCTTTTTGTAATCTCTAATATAATTGATTCTGGGAAGATTATAAATTCTTCCTGGCATTCTAGGAAAAGGATGCTGTCACAGCACTGAAGTGGTGCTGTGTAGCTCTGTCTTAGGTACTCTTCTCTCATTGCTGGGACAAATGCCTGACACCCAAAATGAAGGAAGGAAAGGTTTATTTAGCTCACAGTCAATGGAGGTTTCAGCCCATACTTGACTGGCTCCAAGGCAGAGTGGCATGTGGCAGAGGGCAGCAGTTCACGGCAGGCAACAAAGAGCAAGAGCAAATGAGAGGAGTTGTGGCAACAATGGCAACAGAGGGCAAGTCTGTCTCCCTTAAGTTGCATCCAGGCTGCCCGCCCCAGGCTGGGTGTAGCACTCACACCCATTATCCAGTGAGTTAATCACAAACTGTAGAACTGCGCCTCAGTGACTGCTTGAGGCTTTGGGGGCACAAATACACACCAACCATAACAAGCTCACTTGCTCAGTGTGAAAGAACAAAGGCTTCCAGGAACACTTACCGTGAACGTTTAGAACTAGCTTCCTGTTCTAGGACAGAGGAGGACTAGAAGCTCATGTTGTAAAATAACGAGATGAGGGTTGGGTTGGCGAGATGGGGAGTGGGTTGGCATCTAGATGAGTGAGGGTGGCTGAAGATTTATAATGACTGATGCTGGTTGATGAGAATTCATTGTCTTTTTGTGTTTGCTTTGTGTATATTTGCCATAAAGTCATGGAGAAAGAAAAAACTGATGAAAGGAGACCAAAACTGATATCACCAAGTGCAGTGTTTCAGTCTTATAAAATGAACTTTGGTTGACTCCTGATTCTAGAAATTAGCTACAAAAAGTATTTTTTGGTGAGAAAGTGGAAAAATAGAAAAATGACCAGATATTAGGTACTATTTGAGTTATTTCTTTTTTTTAGGTTGAAAGTTCTGTGGTTTTATAGCGCATCTTTATTTTTAGGAAATGGATGATAAAGTGTGATGATAGGTGTGCAATTACTTACAACTAGAGGCCGGGTGTGGTACAGGCCTGTAATCTCAGCACTCTAGATGCTGAGAAAGGACTGCAAATTCAAGCCCAGTGAGATCCTTTTTCCAAATAAAGACTGGGATTGTGAGTCAGTGCAGAGATCCTGAGTTCAGTTGCTAGTCCTGCTAAACAGATATGTTAGTTTACAAGTAGTCAGTAGCCTCCTTGATGCTTCAAGTGCAAGGGAGCGCACATAAACATGGTAAAATGTTAACGATTGTTGATTTTAGTGATTGTTGATTTCAGGTGAAACAGATATTCACTCTATTTAGGTTTTCTTATTGAAAGGTTTTTTGAATAAAAAATTAGGGAAAAACCAAATATATTTACAGTAGATGAGTTAAGAGAATAGGCTGTTGAGGTTTTGGGAAACTTTGACTAATACTATACTCCTGATTCATAAGTATCAAAACTTTTGTATTTGGACAGTGCTTCGCCTTCTGTTAAGCATTTCCACTTGGCTTATTACTGTACTTATGGGAATGGAAGAACTGAACTACTTGAAATTTCTCTCTTTCCTCATTTTTTAAAATGTATTTGGTACAGGGTCTCACTATGCAGCTCAGACTTGTAGTTATCCTGTCTTAGCCTTTCCAGCGCTGGGATGACAGGCGTGCACTACCACGCCCACGCCCTGTCTCTGTCTCAGTGGCTCAGCCTGCCTAGGGGCAGGGCCAGCAGGGCATGTGGTTTTTTTAATCTTCTTGAAGATAATGTTTATCTCATATAGCCCATTTAGTTAGCATAGAAGGGAAAAGTGGATTTGATAATATCCAAAGAGTTCTTTACTTCTGTGTTCCCATCTTCATTTTTCTAAGGAATAATGGCCTATTTACTAAATGGATATTTAGTTACCTCCTTTTCTAGAGCACTTTTGTATTACATTGCTTCTACATGTGATCATATGATTTGAAATGTCAGTCTTTTTGGTCTGGAAAATACATTGTGAATGATCTTGCTAATGTTGAGAAAGATAATGATATGTGACTCAGATTCTATTTATTAATTTTTCAATTTGTCCTACCCTTGTTAAGTATTAAATTCTTCGGATAATCTTTAGTTTTGCGTTGGTTTTAGGGTTTTTTGGTTTTTGTTTTCTTAAGACAGTTTTTTGCTGTGTAGTTGAGGCTGGCCTACCACTCACAGTGCCCCTTGCCTCAACCTCCGAAGTGCTGGGATTATAGGGGTTTGCCACCATGCTGGAGGTTATAGGGTTTACTACAGGTTGAGTCAGTATTTGAATTTGTACTATGAGGCTTCTACCTTAGGATTTTTGGCTTTTGTCTTCCCTCCTGTTTCCATAAAATTGAATTGTATGTCTTTCTTTATAATGTTTATCGTTGGTCTAGTTTTATTTCTCCTTATTCTTGTTTGTTACCATAGTGTATGGTGTTGAGATGAGGATGGAAAAGGATGTGGATGTCATTGTTTAGATGCTGTTAGTTGAGAATGTTACTTAGATGCAATTTTCTTAGGTAAGCATTTTGTTTTGATTTTAGGCATTGTGGTGTGACTTCATTATATCACAGGATAAATCTGAAAAGTCCTACAGTAAGTTTTTGAAATTTTATTTCCTTTATGATAATTCTAAATGTTCATCTCACTTTTTTTTTTTCTTGTTTAAATAGCCACTACTAATCATAGTTTAACCTAAGTACTTTTACATTGTGCACTTAATAATTTGTAAGAGTTAGAATTGAACTTTTCAGGGAAACAAAAACCATAGATCTTGTACTCTTTCATTTCAGGTAGCTATGAAGTCGAAAAATGCATATGTATATTGCAGAGTTCATGTATAAATATGCATAGTATAGAAGGAAAGGATTATATAGCTTCCTTACCATTTCAGGTAAACTTTTTTTTAATTTCAGGTAAACTTAAATACTATAAATATTTTTTGTGTGTTTTGTTGGAGATCATTCTTAATTTAATTAGTTTCAGTGATATGCCTTGGTTTGTCTTGTAATCAAGAATATTATTTTTATTTTATTCAAATACAATAAATTTTAGTAACTTTAATAACATTTTTCTTTTTCTTTCTTTCTTTTTTTTTTTGCGGAACCAGGGATTGAACTCAGGCCCTTGTGCTTGCCAGGGAAGCACTTACTCTACTTAGCCATCTCCCCGGCCCCTATCAAGTCTTTTTTCTATGGGGACTTTTCAGTTTAAATGATACATAAGAAATAATTTTGCAGTCTTAGAGTCTGAGGCAGGAGGATCACAAGTTTGAGCTCAGCCTAGGCAGCTATTTTTTCTCAAAATAAGAAAAAACAAGGACTGTGTTTAATTTTTAGTACACAAGCTCTGAGTTTAATCTTTGGTGCTGCAAAAAGAGAAAAAAATTAGAATTCTATGAAGGTGTATAAGCAGTCAGTCTTTTTCTTGCTGTACATCATCTTTTTAATATTTAGTGCTATTGTAAAAATTGTCCATACTGACTTGATACTGATACTAGCCACTGGTGGGAATTTCACATTGAACTTCTCTTCCTAAATTATTATTATTATTATCTTTTTTTTTTGTGGTACTGGGGATTGAAGTCGAAATGTCTATTGCCAGATAGGTGCTTGTGCTGCTGAGCTATCTCCCTGGCTCCTCTCTCTTCCTAAATTTTATCCTAGAGTTGCTTGTTAGAATTAAATTTTTAAAAAATAATTACCATGTTACTTTGTAAAACTCTTAAATTGGAAGAAAATCTACTGTTCTGACATGTTTTCTAAAAACATTTTATAAAGAAAGGGTAGATTTTCTTATTTTTCTGTTTGTATCCTTTTTGCCTGGTAGGTTGCAAATGTTTGGCCCACTAAATATGGATTATTGTTTGAACGAAGCACATCTTCCCATGAGGTACCTCCAGGTCCACCCAGGTGCTCATTTTATTCCATTCAGAATATTGTTATCTTGGCTTTTTAAGTGTTGGTTTTGAGGTAAAATTATTAACCCAAAAGTTCTGTTAGATCTTGGCATCATGCAGTTACAAGCTACATTCACTTGGAAATTATGTATAGCTCTCCTGCTCCCATAGTATAATTGAACAAGCAGTAGCTTAATGTTAATAAGATTGAATTCTTAGCTCTAGCTTGTTTTCATGGTGCTATATGGGATAAATTATTAGGATTTCTTTTCATTAGTTTCTTTATCTGTTACAGAAATACTTTCCTCACCTGTTACACCATCAGTGACTTGTTAGGATTTATGCAATGATTACACAAGCTAAGTGTCTGGAAGCTTTGAAACCGGGCCCTAGTAGTGTGTGTTGGGTGCACAGTAAGCTGTAGATGCTTATTGATGGTGCGTTTACCTTGTCTTTCTCTAAATTGTGAGCTCATTGAAGGGCAGGAGCATATAGTACCTGTCATAATGTGGTGTAAGAGGTAGACACTAAGTTTTGAGAAAATTGCTTACTAATTTTAATCTCTGTTTTGATAGTCTTTCCCCTCTTTTAAAAAAAATCTCTGTCTAAAAACTGGAGTTTCATTTACTTGAAGTATTTCTGCATACGTATACCCTTTGAAATAAGTGTAGGAAGCTAAGTGTCATTCTTAGCTGCAATAGATACAGCCACTAAGAGAGGCAAATAAAAAAAAATGATGACCTTATGCCCAAAACTCTGGGGGTTCTGTAATGAGATGAGTGCTATTTGCAGATATTCCCTGGTTTTACTCTGTGTATGTATAAAATTATTATAAGAAGAGTGATTTCTAGGCATGAAATAGAAGATACTGTGAAAAACAGTGTGTAAAAGTTTAGAGAGTTGCTTTTGGAGATGGAAGGTTTCCTAGCTTTTGTCCTCTGAAGAACTCCCTTGTAAGGAAAAGTGTGCACAAACCTCACTCACCATCGTGTGCCAGTGTCTGACTGATGTATTTGTTTATTGCTAGAGAACCTTTGCCCACTATGTTCAGCATGCTGCACCCTCTAGATGAAATAACCCCACTGGTTTGTAAATCTGGAAGTAAGTAGTTTTATATTCTTTTATACTTTTACATATATCTCTTTTTTTAATTTTTAGTTTGGGGGAGGGAGGGAAATTAAAAAAGGTGCTTATAAAAAACTGACTTGTTTATAAAATATGAGATCATTAAACATGTTACAAAAATAATGTATTATGAAAGTAATTCATACTATAATAAGAACTTGAGTGTAATTGTTCATTTTTTTTGTAAAAATAAAATCACATAAATCAATGGGGAATACTGACATACTAATCTGTAGATGGCTGTGTTCTTTAATAATGATCTTTGAATGTTTTTTTTTGAGAGAAGAAATGTAGGGCTCTATGCCTATACTGAGTAAATTTTAGTTTTTTACTTTGTTTACTCATAATAGTGTAATTTATTGGGGCTCAGAACTTTCATACAAGTATTTCTAGATAATTATCCTTACATTTTTTGCGTGCTCAAACATGATAGGTAATTAGAAATGATGAGGTTTTGCAGCCTGCAAAATATATTCTTTGGCATTTTTATCTTTATCTTTATTTTTTTCCATAATTTTATTGAGAAATAGCAATGAGACAGTTTCAAATCAAATTGGTAGGACAGTTCCAGTAATTACCACATTGCATACTGCCAGGCATTTTGATTTTTAGAATTTAGCCTGGGTGCAAACAGTGGCCCCTCACTTGTCATGGAGCTCATATTCCAGACTCCCCCACGATAACTGAAAATCACTGAAGTATATATATACACACACACACACACACACACACACACACACACACAATTTTTTTTCCTCTGTATTTAGGACAGGATCTATAGGGTCTCACTACTCAGATTGGATTCTAGTGATTTTCCTGTTTTCAGCCTCCCAAGGGCTGAGATTACAGGTATGTGCTACTGTGCCCAGCCTCAATTGCTGTCTCAATGTGCCCTGGAGGCGGTACCAGTACAGAATGCTGGGGATCAAACCCTGGCTGTTGAGCTCTGCCTAAGCAGGTGCTTTAGTCCGCTGAGCTATCAGGCTGGCCCTCAACAGCAGACTTTTTTTTTTTTTTTTTTTTTTGTGGTACTGGGGACCAAACTCAGGCCCTTGCGCATGTGAGTTATGCCATTGAGCTAGCTCCCCACTCCCTATATATTTTAAGGCTTTAAAAACCCTTTCCACACTTTTAAAAATACTTCTAATGTTCTTAGCCATTTTCTAAACTTGTAAACCTATGTAATTTTAACAACATATGTATACCGTATGGTACTCTAGAATCCCACAATATAGTGAAAAATCCACGATAAATAATTTAGATTAATAACTTTTGAAAGGCACACAACAGTGAGTCTGCAAAATTGAACCATATAATAGCGAGGGGCTACTGTAATTGAAACACCACTGAAGTTATTGTCTTCTATTTCACAGGTTATATTTTGCCTTATGTTATTTTTGTAAAGTTTATGAAAGGTTGAACAAAACAAATATTATGTGATAGCGTCAGTGTGTAAACCACAAAGGCTAAAGAAACTTACTCATTGGCGCCATATTTATAGAAAAAGTTCATTGACTCTTTTATATCACATTGGTATCAACACAAGCAACCTAAATGAACACGGTAGGGCCTATGATTTAATGATATGTACCTATTGTTGATTGTGCTTTTGAATAATACTTAATAATCTCAGGAGTTGCTTATTTATAATGTAGGATATTAGGGAATAATAGGATATAAAACTGTGAAGTCCACTATGATTCTAGTTTTTCTTTCTTTTTTTGCGGAACCAGGGATTGAACTCAGGCCCTTGCACTTGCCAGGCAAGTGCTTATTCCACTGAGCCATCTCCCCGGCCCCTATGATTCTAGTTTTGTAAAAGCCTGTGTGAGAGGCTGGATGCAGCAGTGTATACCTGTTGCCCCAACTATTCAGGAGGTTGAGGCAGGAGGATGGTGTAAACCCAGATTAGTTGGGGAAATACAGTGAGACTCTGTCTATAAAATACAAAAAATCAGGATGTGAAACTCACTAGTACATTAATAGGATAGCATCACAAGTGATATTTCTTTTAAAATAATATTTTTTTATAAAACAGTCTTTTCTTATGTGGTTCAATATGTTAATTGAAAAGGAAGCATTTGGGAAGGTGAGATGAAAACCAATCCATGGTATTTGAGAAGTGAAAAGTGAACTCAGTAGAAAAAAACGTAACTTTGCACATGTAACTATAAAGAAGGAACAGTAGTGTACTGTGCGGCACTGCTTGGTTAGTTATTGTGGAGAACAGGTTTGTACAGAAGAAAACCAGTGAGAAAGGCAAACTTTGCAAGCAGCTGATTACAGTTTATAAACAAGTTGATTGTTGAGTAGCCTTGGACACTTCTCTCACAGATGCTTTGAGTCAGCATTGATGCTCAACATTCTGTTGCATGTACATAAAGTTGAAACTTTGTCCTTTTTTTTTTCTTTGGTACTGGGGATTGTACTCAGGACTTTGTATTGACCAGGCAGGTACTTAAGCTCTAAGCTGTCTCCTTGGTCTATAAAGTAGAAACTTAAATGGTTTCATCTTTAATATATTCTATTTATTTATTTTATGTATTGAGTACAGGATCTACAGGGTCTCACTACACAGATTGGACTGGTAGTGATCCTTCCTGCTTTTCAGCCTACCAAGTGCTGGGATTACAGGCGTGCGCCACCACACCCAAGTCTCAGCGTGCTCCTGGGGCAGGGCTGGTGTGGCAGGCTGGGGTTTGAATTCCCAGCCCCTGTGTCTGCCTAAGCAGGCGCTTTAATCTCTGAGCTGTCTGGCCAGCCAATATCTATTAAGGAAATTAATGCCCAAAGTAAATACAGGGTTAATTGCCTACTATTTAGTGGTTTGTACGTTCATTGATTTTTTTTTCCACTGTATCTTTAGGAATTTTAGAAATTGATTCCTAAGGCTTGGTCTTAAGAAACCCATTGTCTTTTGCCTGATTGTTTCTGTTTTATTTTTAAGGTCTTTTTGGCTCATCACGGGTACAATATGTTGTAGATCAAGCAATAAAAATCGTGTTCCTCAACATCGACCCTTCCATTGTAATGACATATGACACTGTCCAAAACGTGCATTCTGTGTGGACTCTCCGGAGAGTCAGAGCAGAGGTAAAGACAAATTCCTTTCTCCTTAGTATGCAGCATAGGTGATGCTGAACGCTGTCGCATGTTTGTGGCTGGGTCACTTGTGTAATGGACTGAACGTCCTAGGAAGAGAAGACTATTGTGTCCTTAATACTGACATGTACGCTGCATTGTCACAAGGAAATTGCCTTTTATTCTTTTTTTTCCTTTATTTTTGCTTAAGGAAGAGAACGTAGTCCTAAAGTTCTCTGAACAGGGGGGAACCCCCCAGAACGTGGCCACTAGCAGCTCCCTCACAGCACATCTGAGAAGCCTGTCCAAAGGCGACTCCCCTGTGGCGTCACCTTTCCAGAACTACTCCTCCATCCACAGCCAGAGCCGCTCGGCCTCGTCACCCAGCCTGCACTCGCGCTCTCCTTCCATTTCCAACATGGCAGCTCTAAGGTGGACGCATCTCCTTGTTTTAAACACAATCTCAAGCAACAGATGCCTTCTTATCTAGCTTTCTCTTATGTTCTGAAGGATACAATTTTTATTGACAAGTCTTAGGTAATTTTTAGAGGAAATAGCTATAATCTCAATTGTGCTTTTTTAAACTAAGACTTGTGAGTCTACTGTGTCATCTGTCTTTGATGACCATATCTAGAAGCTGATTTTGCTATCCTAGGATTGTTTTGTTTCCACCAGTGTGGCAGCAGTTTTATGAAAGTTAATTCCAAAAATATTGTGGTAGTTTTCCTTTGCTTTAATTTATACTAGTTTTCCTTTTGGTCATTGGTATCTGTGTATCTTCTGATATGTGTTTTATAAACGATGCTACTGGGACATAGCCTTGTGGTTTGTATGTATCTGACTACGTAGGAGTGTGCTTTCAAGTAGACTTTTTTGTTTAGTAATACAAGGAATTCATTTCCCGAGGAAGAAAATGAATTTTCTATTTTAAAAAGATGAATTATTTTACTAAGAATTCTCTTTAGAATATAGTAGAGCACATTGGTATGAATCTCTCAACTAGCTTTTTTCCTTTAAAATGTTTTAGTGCCTGATTGGAATTGTGCCAGGTGTGCTTTCCCTGCAAAGCTTAGGGAAGCATTGCTGGAGCGTGCGTCATAGGGGCCTGCCTTGCTGACTGTTGCCTTCTCTCTTTTGCAGCCGTGCTCACTCTCCTGCCTTGGGGGTGCACTCTTTTTCCGGGGTGCAGAGGTTCAGCCTTTCAGGCCATAACCAGTCTCCAAAGAGGCACAGCATTTCTCATTCTCCAAATAGTAATTCCAATGGCTCCTTTCTTGCGCCAGAGACAGAGCCAATTGTTCCTGAATTGTGCATTGATCATTTGTGGACAGAGACGATGACTAACTTGAGGTTTGGAGCATAGAATTTTGTATTTACTTTAAAGAAAAACATTGTTACTGGAGAATCTAATGATTATTAAAACCTGCAGTTTTTCTGTGTATTGCTCTACTTTCTAGCTTTTTCTCTTTTCTTTTTTATATATGGTACAGGGTCTGCAGAGTCTACAGGGCTTTACTACTTAGATCAGACTCGTAGTGAGTCTCCTGATTTCAGCCTCCCAAGTGCTGGGATTACAGGCATACACCACCACATCCAGTCTCAATCTCCGTATCAGTATGCCCTGGGGGCAGGGCTGCCATGGCCTGCTAGGGATTGAACCCCAACCCCTGTGCTCTGCCTAAGCAGGCACTTTAGTCTGCTGAGCTATCTGGGTGGCCCTTCTTATGTTTTGAAGGATTTAAAATTTTTGTTGACAAGTCTTGGGTATTTTTTTTAGAAGTAGCTATAATCCCAGTTGTGCTACTGTGTCATTTCTCTTTGATGAGAGGTGTTGTGGGCTTGTAGGGGGTCATTGAGAGCAGACAGGAGATTATAATTTCAGCAATGTGTAGGTGGGTTTCTGGGGCTGCAGGGGGCCTGCAGTGAGTGTGGGGCTCCAGGGGTTCTATTAACGCTCTGAAATTGTTTTTAGTTACCATGTGTATGAGTATGGTGTGGAGGCCTTCACCTAAATAGGTGGCTTTAATAATTGTTACAGTCTGGAAGAGTTGTGTGACCTCAAAACAGTTAAATTCTCATAGTGTAGAACCATGAAAGAGGCAGGGACTGAAGTACTGAATATTTAGAATTTGGGGGCAAGGGTTACAAAGAGGCAAAGCTAGGGCAGAAATACAAACCATGATGTCAGATGGGAGTGGCAGCTAGGAGTATCACAGGACACATTTCCAGAAGAAAAGAGGTACCAGCATTGCCAGGTGATGATGCAGTATGGCTCCAAGAGGGAGGGGCTCCTGGTTCTTGGTCCCCAGGGGTCAGTAAGTTCACTTGTGACCTTGGCCAAAGTGGACACAATTTAGAAAAAGTAAATGGGGCTGAGGAAGTGAAGGTTGGCATTTGGACTGTTTCTAAAGAGTTTACCTTTGAAGATGAGGATATAGAACTAGCTAGTGGAAGTGCTGAGCGTCAAGAATAGTTTTGGGGGCACTGGGGAAATGGCTCAGTGGAATAAGTGCTTCCCTGGCAAGCACAAGGGCCTGAGTTCAATCCCTGGTTCTGCCAAAAAAAAAAAAAAAGGAATAGTTTTGGTTTTGCTGAACTATATTAAAGGAAGTCTATGAAATTCTACCCCTAAATACTTTGGCATGTATCTAAAAAGTAAGGACATTTTGTGATGTGGCTATGTTACCATTTTTACTTCTACCAAATCACCAATCCTTTTATGTCACCTTATTTCATGACGTAGTTCGCCATATTTCAAGATTTTTAAATTTGAAAGAGTTGGCTACTAGGACATAAGCAGGCAAAGCATTCAAAGTACGGGGGAAAGAAATGATTGCTGGATGAGGAACCAGGATGGAGCACAGTGGAGAGATTAGCCCTGAGGAGGAAGATGTGCTGGTTCATCTTACATGTGAATCGTGGCATTGAGATCATACAAGTGTGCTTCTGTCTTCAGGGTTATTCATGAAGTAGGATTTTTGAAGAGTATCTTCAAAGATCTTTGTAGAAGTTATGAGGTAGATTTGTTTTGGATTAGTGCTGATGATTTTCTTTTTTAATCTATTTCTTTATTAATATATTCTGTTTCAGAGAGAAAAATTCACAGGCCTCCAAGGTGTTCATTACATCTGATTTATGTGGACAGAAGTTCTTATGCTTCTTAGTGGAGACACAGCTCCAGTTACGGTATGTCTGTCCCCATCATTTTATGTAAATAATTTAGGGATCCTTCCTTCCTTCTTCCTTCTTTCCCTTTTTTTTTTCCTTGACTGCCTTTATTGAGAAACAGTTTATATGCCATAAACTTGGCGTGTCTTCAGTATATAATAATTTTTAGCAAACTTAGAATTTGTGCAGCCCTCAGAACAAACCAGGTTTCTTGCAGTACCAGGGATTGAACTTGGCATTTTGTGCTTTTCAGACAGGTGTTTATGCTGCTGAGCTAGGGGTTTCTTGTTATTACTGTTTTTTGGTACTGGGATTAAACTGAGAACCTTCATAATGAGCCACACCCACAACACTTTTAAATTTTTCTTTTCATGTTACTTTTTTTTTTGTGTGCAGAACCAGGGATTGAACTCAGCCCCTTGCTCTTGCTGGGGAAGCGCTTATTCCATTGAGCCATCTCCCCAGCCTCTAATTTTTCTTTTGAGATGTGACTTTGCTATGTTGCTCAGGCTAGGCTTAAACTTGGAATCTTCTGTCCTCAACCTCCCATAATGCTGGGATTATAGGCCAGTGCCACCATGCCCAGGTATCAATCCAGAACTAAATATTATCACTATAGAAAGATTTTTTTTTGTGTACATTTGGAGTCAGTCTCATTTTCATTGGTAACATCCAATAACCACTCTAGTCACTCTGCCTCTGTCCATAAGTAGGACTATACAGTCATTCAGTAATACAGTTTTTTGTGATAAGCTTTCTCTCTTCACTCTTTTTTAGGATTCACCATGTTGCAACATGTATGAATAAGTCATTCTATTTAGTAGTTTATTGTATAGGTAAATCACCTTTTTAAAATCTGTTCATCAATTAGTGGTATTATTTTTCTTTTTTGAAAATTGTGGATTGTGCCACTGTGAACCTTTACGCAGAGGTCTCTGTGTAGATGTACTTGATTGCAGATTATGTAGGTAGGTAACTTGGAGTAGAATTGTTGAGTCAAATAGTAAGTTCATATTTAACTTTGTAAGTAATTACTGAGTTGATTTCCAAGTAGGCTGCAGCATTTTACGTTCCTACACCCACCTATGAGGGTTCATTTCTCTTTATCCTGGAAAACTTCGGATATTGTCAGTATCTTTGAATAGAGCCGTTGAGTGGCTATGAAATGGTTTAAATTCGCATTTCCCTGCTGCCTTCTGGTGTTGATCACCTCATGTTATTAGTCATTCATTTTTCTTCTTGCATGGAATGTCTGTTTAGCCCTTTGGTCCACTTACTTATCTTTTCACTTTGAAATAGTTAGAGAAAGTTCATGGAAAGTTCAGGTAGTGAAGGGATTCTTCGTACCCGTTTCTCCACAGAAGTAACATCTTACATAACTATAATACATTATCAAACCAGGAGTTAATATCAGTGACCCACGCACCTTCTGTCACGTTTTATCAGTTTTACATGTACTCGTTTTTGCGTGTATGTTAATGATGCCATGCAGTCTTCTCGCATGTGTAGATTTGTGTAAATGCTCTTAGCGTCAAGACACAGAATGCCTTTATCAGCTTAGATTTCTTCAGTGCCACCTCCTGATTGTCATCCCAGAACATCCCTGTCCCTTCTCCCCTTCCTCCCTTAGTACTTGGTAATTTGTCCTCATCACTGTAAGTGTGCCTTCTGAGAATGTTATATAAGTGGCATCATTCAGTGTTAACCTTTCAAGACTGTCTTTTTCCATTTAGCACAATGCTCTTAGGACTTGTGCAGTTTGTTGCGTGCACCCATAGTTTCTTTCTTTATTTTACTGCTTAGCTGTGTAAAGTTTCAAGAGAGCAATGACAAAACCCAGCTCATCTTTGGCTCTGTCACCAGCATACACGCAAAGGATGCAGCACCCGTGGAGGTAAAGGCACACTTATTTCTTGAAAGTTGAAAATTATTTCAAAATGATTAGTTTGCTCAGATTAGAAAAGGAATGTTTATCTTTTTTGAAGAAAATAGACACCATGCTGGTCCTGGAAGGCAGTGGGAACCTGGTGCTGTATACAGGAGTGGTTCGGGTAAGTACCAGCAACACTTCATGCTTTAACTAGTAGGACTGCCTCCTCCATTTAAAATTTGTTATATTTCTTCTTCTATGCACAATGTGGCAGATTAAGTTGAAAATGAAGTGTCTAATGTTGGCTGTCCTGAGCCGTCAGGTAGCACACACCTGTAATCTCAGCACTTGGGAGGCTGAGGCAGGAAGATGGCCAAATGCTGACGTTTAGCCTGGGCTCCATAGGGAGTTCAAGGTAAGCCTCAACTATGTCGCAGGACCTTGTCTCAAAAAACAAAGCAATATTTGCTGTTCCTAGTTTGCAGGGCCAGGGCTCATTGCCATTAGATGAATTGACAGTGTGAACCTGGCACAGATGGGAAACCTTTAATAAATGTAGGTAGATTTTTAAACAAACAAGAAAATTGTCAACTGCTTTTAAAATTGCTTAAGAAAATTGGTGTATGGGTAACTTTGGCAAGTATCAATGTTTTGGGAAGTTTTATTACATTAAATATATGAGCTACATGTGTCTTTTTCAGCATTTCTGAGCTTTATGTACAGAATAATATTTTCAGCAAATTTACATTGTAAAATTTATTTGTACACAATTGAATAATGAAGCAGTTATTTGGATAACCTGTCTCTGACTACTCTTACTTACCTCATAGGTTGTTTTACTCTATGATTTAATTCTCTTTAAGTATTACCTGTACAGAGAGAACCACAATATTGTAGTTTTTAGTTTTAAATATCAAACAAAATAGTTTTTTTTTTTGCAGAGCCGGGACTTGAACTCAGGCCCTTGTGCTTGCCAGGGAAGCGCTTATTCTATTGAACCATCTCCCCGGCCCCACAAAATAGTTTTAAAATTATATAAAAATTATTCTACTCTAGTTTTTCTGTGTATTTTTATTTCTTTTATGTAAGGTGTCTTTTGTTACTCATTTTGTGCAGATCTGCAGCCGATAACACTTTGTAGCTTTTCTTCATCTGAGAACATCTTCATCTCACTTTCACTCCTAAGAGTAACTTCCTGGCCCTAGGTAGGCTGCTGCTTTTTGTTGAGCACTTGAAAAATGTGCTCCTATTTCCTGGCTTTCCTGATTTAAAAAAATCTGTTCTGTTGATTTGTTCTATCCTATGTTAATTAATGCTTCTCATTTTTTCTGGGAGCTTTTAAGATTTTTTTCTCCCCCTTTAAAAGAAATTTTAAGGGACTGAGGAGATGGCTCAGTGGAATAAGTGCTTCCCTGGCAAGTGCAGGGGCCCTAGTTCTAATCCCGATTCTGCCAAAAAAAAAAAAAAAAAAATCTTGTGATTGGCATAAATTTCTTTGGGTTTAAA